GATTGTGCGCGTGAAAAATCAGTTTAACATTTTTGTTGCAAAGGTCAGCTTGTTAATGAAAGCTTAAAGTGATTCTCTCTAGCTCTCTTGTACTCTTTGTATTTTGTTTTAATGATAATGTTTATTGAGTGAGGCAGTCTGTAATTTATATGTCACGGTTCATGTTGGTGTTGATTTGTACTGAAGCCCCCTCCTTGAGAAGATAAATGTGGTAGACTACTGTTTAATAAAGTGTTTATATGGTTACTCATTACATACAACAGAGTCTTTGTGTGCTTGTTAGTAGGGTGAGAGATGGGCTTGTTGCTTCGAGGGAATAAGGCGCAGACAAGGAAGCATAAGTAAAAGCGTAAAACTTGGAAGGGGATAAAAAATCATAAAAATGTAAAAGCGTTTAGAATATTGATAAAATCATTTTGATGGAAAAATAATGTAAAATCGTAGTGATAAATTGAGATTTTAACTACCATGGATGGAAGGACCTATGTTCGATCCTCAACCAAAACTACCTTTGGGAGTAGCACAAAAACTGTACCAATCTCTATAATACCATCAAAATCAACGTTGGAGGAAGAGTTATTGATGTCTATTGTTCTAACTTGCTTGAAGATACTTTCTAAGCTTTAATATATGGTAGAGATTGGCTACGTAATAAGTATGGTTTGAAAAAAAAAAACAAAAGGTATAAAAAGGATTTTAGTTTTTTTCCTTTTTTTTTTTTCTATTCTTTAATCTTGTTTTTTGTTCTCTACATTTACAAATTGTTTACCAACTTATGTAACCTTGGAATTGTATTTGCAGCGGAAAGAAGTTGATGAGAAATTTTGTCTACTACAAGTATCATGATATATTTATTGGATTCATGCAGTTATTTTAATTTACATAGTATAGATTGATTTGTTGGATCTGATAAAATATATGTTAGTTAGTTTGAGTATCTTGTTTCTGAAAATGACTTAAAAAAAATTGTGATAAATTATTGTTGTGATTCATGGTTTTGTTTAAATGTTGCAATTATGATTTTTGTTTTAACAATAAAATTTGAGTATTTTGTGAAGTTGATTCATGTTCTGCTTGGAAATTAAAAATTAACATGCTAACGGGCTAGGTCGGGCCATTTATTTTTCTATAAATGTGTCAGGTCAGACTAACAATTAGATTCGTACTATGCTATCGGGTCAGATTAAATTAAATTTTTTTTATATAGACTTAAACTTTTTGAGATAAATCTCGGCCCATTTCACCCTTACTTGCAATTGGATTCGCTTCCCATAATCTATTTTTTTAATTTGAAAAAGTGTATAAAAATTAACTCAAAATTAAGAAATATATAAAAATTAAAAAATATATATTAACAAAAAAAAAAGGAAAAGGAATACACAATCAAGGGAGTTCATCGTCTCGTATTAAAATTTTATGACTTTTATAATGTGAAATTTTTGTGCTTGTCTTTTGTTTATTAATGATAATTAGACTCCACATATTATTACCTGAAATTTTAACAGGATGATCCATTTTCTTAAAGCAGCTATATTAAACCATTAGAATTGGTCTAATGATGTAAAATTTGATTAGGGGGTGTTTGGTGGAGGAGAAATATTTTTGTACCAGGGAAATATAATTATTTGAGAAGTGGTAGAAAAATGAGTTTGGTAGGAAAGTGAACAAAAAATTGTTTGGTAGGCCGAAAAACTACCGAAAAAATTGGTTTAAATTTTCTAAGTCTATGTTTGTTTGAAGGAAAAATATTTCTGGGAAAATAGAGTTAAATTACCACAACAACCCTTAAATTACCATAACAAAGGTCAATGCCTTGGACCCTCTTTCTAGAAGATGGCAAAGGTTCCCATTAACAAAGGTCATTTTGGTCTCTTGCTTCACGGTCCTTTTTCGATTTGCCTGGTAAACAAGCAAATACCACCTAGAAGGTGGCATTATAAGATTTGAACGGACAACATGGATTTATAAGACTTTAAAAAATCATATGAATTTTTAACAAACATTCAAAATTACAAGAGTCAATAAAAAAGGGAAAGTTATACTTACAATCTATTTTTGTTTACAATATTTACAATCATATCTTAACCGTTGATTTCCATCAATCAACGGTTACCATTCATTGCAAATTAAATATTAATTAATGAGTTTGATTTGCGAAAATAATAACCTTTGATTGACGGAAATCAACGGTTAAGATATGATTGTAAAAGGTTGTAAACAAAAATAGGTTGTAAGTATAATCTTCCCACTACAAAAAATAACAAAGAAATGCAATGAAATTAATGAAAAAAAGTTAAACCTAATATAATTTTCTCAATCAGTAAAACATAATATAATTTTTAACAAACATTCAAAATTACTAGACAACAGCTTTTCACATATCTAATGGGTTGAAAATTATCTTCTTCATTTGGTATCAAAGTTCATGATAAAATTTCGTTTGGAATTTTTTGCAATTGATCTTGAAAACCTTGGGGTTTTTATTTTACGTGATGAGAGTTTTCTAACCATATATCATATGCATATTTTCATTGAATATTCTAAGAAAATTTCGAATCTAAAATTTTGGGTTTAATTACATAAAAGTTTTGAAAATTTCTCAAATTTTTTTCACTCGATACATTGAAACCTTAAATTGCTTTGGGACTTTTGAGAAACAAGCTTTTAGTTATTTATTGACACAAAAATTGTTTGAAATCATTTCCTATAGTGAATGAATTTCGTTCATGAATGTATTGTTACGAAATATAAGGTTCATATTATGAAAGTTTCAATCTTTCTTTAAATTGATATTGTTTCATTGATGTAAAACGAAAATTGGTTTGAGGGTTTTAGTTCCCCTGTTATTTTTCACTATTTTATGTTGTTTTTAATACAAAAATCACACGTTTTTGTGCCAAGAAAAACTGTAACCCATAGCTTGAAAAATCACTTTTTAAACTTCTAAAATTTCTAAAAAATGGCTCAAAAATATGTTAAAATCACGTTTTTGAGATAGATTATATTAAAATCTCGTTGGTTTGTTGTTTCTGGGTTGCTTTGTGATGAAAATCGCTCAAAAATATTTTTTTTTTAGTTTTAACGAAGCTCCCGTGATGGAACCCAATTTCAAGCAGTCAACCTGCCAAAGGAAGAAGAAAATACTGCAATAGAAGAATATCAAGAAATCCTAGGGGTTAGGGTGAGATTGTGAGAGAGGCATCCTATTTATATTTTTCACTAAAAAGTCTCACGAAATCCACACCAATAGAAAATCCATTAAAATCGTCGAATTTTTGAATACCACGATATTGTGATTCCATTGTTTAAAATCCTGATTGAATACCAACGGATTTGGACGAATTCTAAAATAATCTTTTAAAATCCTAATCAAATACCACAAGATTTTTTTTCGGGACAGTGACCAATGTGCCACGCTTTGGCAAACAAATTACCAAAATGCCACGCGAACAGTAAAATTTCCCAAACTGCCACGCGGGATAATTCGCTACACAGTGTAGCGAATTACGTATGCAAATAATTCGCTACACTGTGCAGCGAATTATGCCATGTCATGTTGCCCCGTCAGCATCACTGCCACATGTCATCCCAGGAGTAATTCGCTGGGGTATGTAGCGAATTACTCCTAACGAAAACCTGCTGCACAGCAGCATGCTGGACACGTGTCAATCATACACAAATTCGCTAGACACCCCAACGAACTTCCCTCAAAATTTTTCTATAAATCCCCTCCGCCCCCCGCCCCTTCCCCACCTCTCCATCCTCACCCTTCTCTCTTAAAGTGTGGTCTCTCTCTCTAAAGGTTAGTTTTATTTTTTCTTTAGTTGTTTTTGTTTTAAAATTTTATTTAAGTTATTATTTAATGTTTAGTAGTAGTTAATGTAGTTATTTGGGTTAGTGTTTTTGTTTGATTAGTTTATGTTGTTTCAATATTGTATTTAATTTATTATTTAATGCATTATTTAATGTTTAATAGTAGTTAGTATAGATTTTTGAAACATTAGGTTAGTTAATGTAGTTATTTGGGTTAGTTTTGGTTGAATCCATTTTATTTAATGTATTATTTAATGCATTATTTAATGTTTAATGTTAGTTAGTGTAGATATTTTAAACATTAGGTTAGTTAATGTAGATATTTCAAACATTAGGTTAGTTAAAGTATTATTTAAGGTTCATTCTCTTTCTTATAAAGTTAAGTTAGTTTAGTTTTATATTTATGCTATTAAAAATTTTCCTATAATCTGAATTGAGTTTTATCTACGGAAATGTTCATGCTCTTAAAAATTTCCCTATAAATTTAATTTTATAATTATGGTTTTATAATTTTGTAATATAATTTAATGTTAATATAATTTATTTTCTTTTTTGATTAGGCTTTAATAATTTTATAATATTAGTTACTGTTGATTTTTTAAATGTTAGGTTAGAAATTTGTTAATTTATTTAAAGCATAATCTTCAATTAGTTGTAAACTTTTCAATTGTTTTTTTTGTATTTATTTAGGGTTATATTAATGTATTTTTAGTTTTTGATTATAATTTGGGTTAATAATTTATGTTAATAGTGTACATAATTATAACATTTACGTAAGTCATAAATAAATATAATTTTGTAATATAATTTAATGTTAATATAATTTATTTTCTTTTTTTATTAGGCTTTAATAATTTTATAATATTAGTTAGTGTTGATTTTTTAAATGTTAGGTTAGAAATTTGTTAATTTATTTAAAGCATAATCTTCTATTAGTTGTAAACTTTTCAATTGTTTTTTTTTTGTATTTATTTAGGGTTATATTAATGTATTTTTAGTTTTTGATTATAATTTGGGTTAATAATTTATGTTAATAATGTACATAATATTATAACATTTACGTAAGTCATAAATAAATATAATTTTGTTTTCATTGTTGTGCATTATAATTGTGCAATTATATAACTTTGCATTCTGTCAGTTTAAATTATCGCTAATATGCTGATTTTATGCTTGTAATTAGATTTATGGAGCATGATGATGCAGCTCGTCCTGGGTCACCACTCAGCGTGATCGACCCTGGGCCGGAGGTTAATACTCTCCTGACTTTGCAGGACAGACATATTTCCACACATGTGTGGAACACCTGTGAAGATCCGAATGCCAATGATCGTGTAATTAATGTGCGCCATGCTGTGACCCATAATCACCTTGACATTCTCGAGGAGATTCAGCCATGGCTGATGCAGGCTGGCTTCTATCATGTTGCTCGCTTACGCAACCATGAGGTTAGTATATTTGTATGCATAACTACGTAATCACTCTTATATTGTATTGTGATAATTTATGTTATCTCTGATGATGTCAACTCATTATGATATGCTCTCAGATAGACCATCACCTTGTCTCTGCGCTTGTCGAGCGATGGCGTCCAGAGACACGGACTTTTCATATGACTATGGGCGAGGTGACCATCACCTTGGAGGATGTTCATCATTTATTGGGGTTGCCCACAGATGGTCAGGTTGTGTCCGGGCGCCACGGACGACATCCCTTTAAGGATTTGTACCGTGACTTCTTAGGCGTTCAGCCCACAGCTGGTAGGGATCTGAATGGAGGTTTGTTGGGTCTCCACTATCTATGGGAGAAGTTTAAGGATTACGCAGACCACACTGGTAATGAGGTTGACCGTAGGAGGTATACACGCGCATTAATATTGCAGATACTAGGTGGTATGTTGTTTGTGGACACTGCCTCCAGCTTCGTCCCTGCGAAATATTTGTTATATCTTGATGATTTCCAGCGATGTGGGACGTATAGTTGGGGCTCTACAGTTCTTGCACTCTTATATAAGGAGTTATGCAAAGTGACTGACAGGAGACGTTCAAATATGGGTGGTTGTGCACTGTTACTGCAATTATGGGTCTGGACCAGGTTCCCGACTATCTCTCCTCCACTCCCTGAGGTCATCGATGAGTATGCCATTTATGGAGCGAGGTATGTATCCTTTGACTATGTCACTTGTTCATCTTTTCGTTCTTGAAATTGTTTATATTGCTGTTTGTAATATAATATATTATCATAAATGCAGGTTTAACATTTATGATCAGCGCCATACTGTGTTTAATCACATTCGCAGGTACCGCCATCATATGGACGTCATGCGTAGACGACAGTGTCGTTGGAGACCATACCTGGGCGTGACCCATAATGTACCTCACTGCCACCCTTTTTTTGGTATGCTCTCATCCTCCACGGACAACCGGCGTTATGATTTTGACAAACCATTATCAACCTTTTCTTATCACTTTTCTCTACGACTGTTGTGCGATTTTTTTCCATACAATATTGTTTAATTGCCATTTGAACATCATGTTTGGTGTCAAACAATTGGTCCTTATATAGCTCGTGGCCCATCTGCCAGTTAGGTATTTGTGCTCCATGCATATCTTCTAATTCTTAATCTGGATATTCCCAATTAACATTTGTGAAATGGCTGATTCCATCCCAAAATGGTACATTATCATTTCCTGTTCAATAACATATCCAAAACCCCAAAATCATATAATTTGTTTATATGACATAACATACACCTCTACCACGGTTATTAATCGATTCTACATACCTGCAACTGGAGGGTCTTGCATTCCTACAATGCCAAGCGATGGAATTGGTAGACCAACTGCAGTGGACGGACAACAATCAAAATCACCATCGACATCTGTATCCGAGGACTCACTGTCCGGAACAAGACCTTCATCAACCTCTTCCTCTGAACTATCGGTACGCCATGATGGATCGTACATGTCGTGGACCGGCAAGCTTTCATCAAACAGTTGTTGAGTTTGTGGTGCAAGCGCGGGGGACGCGTCCTCATCTTCCGGATTAACCACTGGAACCATGTGTATGTCGATGATGTCAGTGGATGGTGGACAAAGTTGACTACTTGATTGTCCACCGTAGTTGACTTCTGCATAAAATTCAATAAATCTTGACTCGCCGTGTTCTGAAGTGCTTGCATCTACTACTAACGTTACATCGTCATCTTCAACAATTTCGACGCCAACCCATTGCACGGGGTTACCAGAGGCACACCTAGCGGTCAATCGAGCAAGAGTTTGACCACTTTGTAATCTCAACTTCTTGTAGATTATCTTCTTAAGCTCGTGAAGATTGCATGTTGGGCTCATGCGAAACATTTTTGCATCACCTTCAAAAACTTGCCCGTTTGGTCCCAAATATCTTCTCCCATTATAATAAACTGTGGCGATTACATCATTCCTACCCTCACTCATCTTACCAAAGTAGAAAATAAACTAACATTCACAAAAGATAACACAAAAGTAGTAATGTTTGTATATAAATGGCAAATTTTCGCACTCAGAGTCCGTTCCTGAAATGGAATTGAGCTGATTTATAGTAACAAAGTTTGCTACATGAGGTTCTACTTTATGCAACATAATTCGCTATGCCCCCTAGCGAATTACTAGGGGGCTGACACCTGTCCATTATCAATCAGAGTGGTCCCTATTTCGCTATGAGTCATGGCAAAATTAGTACATAATTCGCTAGGCAGTACAGCGAATTATGGGGGTATTGACACGTGTCCTGACAATGACTGGACAGGACTGGAAAACTGACACATAATTCGTGCAAGGTACAGCGAATTACAGGAGTTGTGACACGTGTCCGACAAGAGACTGCCATGAATGACTCCTCCTCACTGTAATTCGCTACATACCCCAGCGAATTACTCCTGGGATGACACGTGACATTCTTGCTGACGGGGCAATCTGACCTGGCATAATTCGCTGCACGGTGTAGCGAATTATTTGCAAACGTAATTCGCTACACTGTGTAGCGAATTATCCCGCGTGGCAGTTTGGGAAATTTTACTGTTCGCGTGGCATTCTGGTAATTTGTTTGCCAATGCGTGGAACATTGGTCACTGTCCCCTTTTTTTTCAATCCATTAAAATCCTAATCGAATACCAACGGATTTTTTTGTCCAAAAATAATTCATTAAAATCCTTTTGAAAACTCAATCGAATACATCTCCTTAATTTATATTAATTTAGGGCCTGTTTGGTGTGACGTATAAGGCATGATAGTATAAGCTTATACTATACGTTATGGCATTTTCAGCTGTTTGGTGTGACCATCGTATAGTATAAGCTTATACAGCATAATCCCTTAATACATCAAAATGATGTATAACTTAATCCGGCCTAAGGGTGAGGGATAAGGTCTGATAAGAGATTGATGTATTAATATCGTTGACCAATGTAATTCTCAAAAATTAAATATTATTTTAATATTAATCTATTAAAATAAAAATTAATTTTTCAATATATTAATTTTTAAAATATTGAATATTTTTATCTTTATAAAAATTAATTTATATTTTGGATACACTGATCAATAAATTTTATAAAAATTAATATCACATGACATTTTTTAGAAAATTATATAAATTCTTTATTAAAGGATATTTTTATTAAAAATATTTATTTTTATCATATATAGTATTATATAGTGCATTACCAAATACTGAATGATATTATCTTATACAATATATTATTTTATACAATACTGTACCAAACGCTAGATAGTATTAAAATTCAATTAGACCTTATATTATCAAATTTTATACTATCAGGCTTTATTCTATCTCATGTACCAAACATGCTTAGTGAGTTATTCATATCTATGTATTATAAAATTAAAACTGGGTGAGAGCTGTGCATTGGTTGGTTATATACGGTCCCCTTGTTTATTTGTGTCTGAGTTTCTGTGCAACAATAAAACAGCAGCAAACAAAAGAGCGCAGAGAGAGAGGTGCAAGGACGATTCTTGACCTGCTCAGTGCTGCTGCGACGTCGTTTTCTGCTGACTCATGGGATTTTTCAGAAGGATAGCTGGATTGCTAGGGTTTGCAAAGGACGAACATGATTCCAAGGATAATGCCGACGATGAACCCAACCTTCAACCTCGTACCACGACGTCGCGCTTCAAAGAAACTGGTGTTCCTAGAAAAGGGCTTAGCGTCCCTGCCCAGGTGGTCGTCGATCGCCCTCACTTTGGTCCCGTTCTCACTCTTTCTTCGTCCGGCGACGGCGGAGTTCAGGTCCTTCCTTTCTCATCATTTTCTTTTATCAATTCCATTTTCACGTCATCGAGGCACTTCCTCATATTTAACAATCGAGCACATCTACTTTTTTTTTGTGCTTGAAAGTAGTTTGGGTTTCATAACCGTTGAATCTAATTGGGGAAACCTAACAAAGCACTCTTCTTTGTTATCATGTTAGTAACAAATTAGTTATTTGGATATATACGATGGAAAAATTCTCTTTCTTAAAAAATTAGTTATGTGATTATGGATTTTACTGTTCTTTGAATTATTTTTGTGGATCTTATATGTCATTTGTTAATTGTGTTTTTATTTTTTTTTAAATAATTTGACTTTATTAAAGAAAATAGATTGAATCTTGAATGCGCGCGGAAATGATTAAGGAAGAGAAAAATATTTGTATTTACTTTTGTGCATTGGGGACATCAAGGTCCTTTTGAATGGTTGGGGAATTCTAATTATTGGCGGTGTATGTTTGAGAAGGAGCTTCTTTTGTTTCTTGCTCGTTTTCACTCCAAGTATTTGGGTCAATAGTTTCTTTGTTGAGTCCTTGTGTATGCTCAAACTAAGGTTGTAAATATTTTCGGTGTGGAAATGCAGTCATCCTTTGATAGTATTCTCTAGTGTTAGTGTTCATGAAGATCATTCTGCCCTTACCTTGTTTTGTCTTGGAGTTCCTGCATCTAGAGTTGAAGCATGCTCTTCACATCTAGATGCTGTATTGTATCATTTCTTTCGGTTATCATCAGGATGTTTTCATTATTGGAAATACTCAATGTTATCAGGAAAGTAGTAAGTAGTTATGACATTTGTAATGTTGCACGGTCCATTATGCATTACCGTTTTTAGCCCTTGTCTTCTTAAGTTGTCTGGCACAATTAACGCATTACCGTTTTTAGCCCTTGTCTTCTTAAGTTGTCTGGCACAATTAACGGAACTAAGCCTTTTGTTTCTAGCTGCTTAGGGATGCTTTAGTGTCTTTTTGTGAGCACATTAATGGGATTGGCGTCATTTGTATTGACTTTAACATAGCAGAATTAGGTAGGATGGCTGATGGTGTAAGTACAGTAACATATAGGGCTTGTGCATGCTTATTAGTTATTATATTTTACTGGATATAGTTCATCTATGTATAACATACAAAGCTTAACCTGCTATCGATTTATCTCCCTTAGAGCACATGAATGAATGAATGAACTTAACAGCAAAACGCAATGAAGAGTATGAGAAGGGAATTATTTAAGATTTGAATTGGCAATGGTATACTTTAGGCAGCTTGCTCTGATGCTTTGTTTCAAAAATGGTTTGCTAGTCTATTCTCTGCATAATCAGTGAGCCTTGTTCTTTGATGGGCATGAAAGTGAGAGTTAGTTAGTTATGGAATTCTTCTAGAATATTCTTAGAGGATAGGATAAAAGGAGGGGGAATCTGTGGAGTGAGGTAAGCATGTATTGAGCGAATATTGGGGAATTGGGGATCTCTTGGAGCGTAGGTTTGTTGGTTCTAAGGGTGAGTTGGGAATGGTCTTTTAGTGCCAATTAGTGTTTGTAAAAGAGGCTATGCCTCCAATGATTCAATAAAATTCTGTGTTGTAATTTTGGGTTTCATAATTTTGGTATTAGAGCACTTCCGATCTAGGGGTGCTTTTGGTCCAAATCCTTGAGAGAGTGAAAACCATGGGAGCCACCAACATGTCAGAACTCAAGAAATGATGAAAAAAATGTTGAAGATTCTGGATGAGGTGATAAAGAAGAAGGAGGCACCGGAATTCAAAATCAAGAAGGAGCACAATCTTGATGCCAATATTCAGTCAAAGAAGAATCAAGAAGAGGAGAATTTGAGTTTAAAACCAAATCTGAAAAAAATAAAGGCAGATACTGAAAAATATAAAGGAATGGAAGGCATAGAGGTTGAAGAAGAAGAAAAGAGGAAAAAAAAGAAGCAAAAGAAAAAGCGGAAGAAGGAGAATGTCGAGATGCAACAATGTTGGCAGATTCTATATCAATGAAGTTAGAAACAGCAACTGCCATGAGGATGCGGGTTTTACACAGTCCATCAACAAATCCTCCGCCACTGAAGCCGCTGGAACCAATCTCACATGCTGTGGATAATGGGTATTTCCGAGCAGGGCAGTCGTGGGGATGCACTGGACAATGTAAAAGAGATGGAGGATTTTGCAGGAAGCAGAAAGTAGGCGACAACAAGTGGAAATTCTACAAAGTGGGTCTCAAGTTTAGCCTAATGGGCCAGGTCCAAACTGAAGTGAGTAATGCTGATGTGCGGCCCAATTCTGGCATTAATGAGGGATGAAATGAGCCAATTATGCTGGGCCAAGGGGAACGCAATTGGTCTAACATAGTGAGCTCATACGATGTGTTGAATCAGACAGGAGGGCAAACATGTTCTTTGAGTGTGGGATCAAATAAAGGAAATCATGCAAAAAATAATACGATGGTTGATGGAAAGGAGTAGGACCCGACCGAAACCAGAACCAGCATGAGTGTCAGAACTAGCTGCTCCATGCCATGGCAGTGGGTACTGGTAAACTCGAGCCTGAAGATGGAGGGCAATTATGCAATGGGGAAAACATAAAGGCCTGCAAGGCTTTCTTTAGTTAAGTGTCCATAACTTTGTGGGTCTCACTTCTAGATATTCATTGAAGTTGTGGGGTGAGGTTCAGGTAAAGAAAACAGAAATCTTGCTGCCAATGGGACGGAAAATTTTTGAATACCACGGTGGTACTGAACTCAATACCTCATCTTTCCAAAATAAGAAATTTTTAATATCATATGTATCCTGTATTTTTTATTTATTTACCTTTATACCCTTGTTATTTTCTAAATGGGGAAAGATTGTACCTACACCGGTGGTACCCAAAATTCACTCCAATGGGACCAATATGCTTCAGGCAACGGGATCCAGGTGGAAAGTGTTTCTCTCAATTATGGCTAGATCCTACCCTCTTTCTTCACCTTGAGGACAAGGTGAGTTTTGGAGGGAGAGTATTGATGGGTATGAAAGTGAGAGAGTTAGTTAGTTAGGGAATTCTTCTAGAACATTCTTAGAGGATTGGATAAAAGGAGGAATGTGTGGAGTGAGGTAAGCATGTATGAGTGAATATTGGGGAATTGGGGATCTCTTGGAACCTAGGTTTGTTGGTTCTAAGGGCGAGTTGGGAAGGGTGTTTTAGTGTCAAGTAGTGTTTGTAAAAAAGGCTATGCCTTCATTGATTCGATAAAATGTGTTGTAATTTTGGGTTTCATCGTTCTTGTAATAGCTTTTCTGGCTTGGATAAGGGTGGCATTAATAATGCCAACTTATTAGTGGGTTGCTTTTTATGTACATTCATGACCTTTAGTAATATGTATGTAGAAGTAAGGAAAATCACACAATTTGAATTTAACGTCCAAACTATAGTAAGTGTGACATGTGAAGGGGGAGGGGTGGCTAGGGATATGACATTTTTAGTGCTTGGGTATTAAATTTTACTCTTCATTTTTTTTCAGGTTCAGTTCAATATAGCTGTTCACATGTAGTTGCCTCTAATTATGAGCTCAAACAATTTGGAAGGACTACAATTTAATGATTTATGAATTTTCAAAACTTAACTTAAAATATAACCAAATGAGGGATCAACTAAGTAAATATGTATTTAACTGATCAACCACGTTTTGAAAATTATTAACCACCTGTGTGATTAATAGTTTTTATATTGGAAATATTTTTACTAAGATTTCCTAAATTTTAGTTCTCCTAAAAATTTTCTCTGAATTATAACTAGAGCTGGTAGTGGTGAAAAATCATTATATTTAAACCTGAGACTATTTCGTGTGCTACATGGTTTGATAATTTTCCAGTGTCAAGTAATTTACTGCTAGCAGGTGATTAATATTTCTTGGTTCTTGTGTTTTCTCTTCATCAGGGTCTGAGGTGGTATGCAAAGCGACTTAGGATAGATGAAGATGGAGATGTAGCGGATGAATTCCTTGATGAGGTTTCTTCAGAGACGCCAGGATTTGCAGTAGATCATCATAAAACAGTGGCAAGATTTACACTGAAGAACGGTACTAAGCCAGTCACAGTGAAGAAACAGGTCCTATCAGATGGGAAAATTCAGCAGTGTGTGGAACACCAGGGCAGATTGCAGTGGGTATAAAAAATCTTATTAGAAATTGGTCTGACTATTAAAATTCGTTGGGTTTTATCTGTTTAGTCGTGCATACTGGGGGAACCTGAAGTCAAAAACAACTAATATTTTTATTGAGCTTTACTTGATGGTTCCTTTTTGCTCTTTGGTTATGTCTTTCACTAGCTATGAGTATGTCTGGGAATTGCTGCATTTGGTGAAAGTATGTGGGAATTAAATGTACAATTTAAGTCCGAGTCTGTTACCCTACAAAATGAGCTGCCGAATCTCATGTCCAAGCTATTGAGAATCTAGCAGTTGAGAATCTTTTTAGTACAGACATTGAATAATGTAGAAGGGTTTGTGAGGAGATTTATGAAGCTCTGAACTTCTACTAGTAGACACTTGAAGTGAAGTTATTCCTAGTGAGGTACGGTAGTTTCCTGTAAGTATTGAAGTGTGATTCTGCTAATTAATTGTGACAATCTGTTCTTTGCTTCTCCTTTTTAGCTATTGCTTTAATTTTGTGTAACGCTTGTATTTGATCAATAAAGTCAATTTTGATTTTAAAAATGGACTATCAATAATGATGGCACGTTGTACCATCTGAACATGAGAATCTTGTTTAAAATGGCAAGGTTTCCGAAGCAGCTTCCATGTAAAGAACTTAAAATCTGTAATTAAGTAGAAGTTCACCCCACATCCAATTTTCCAACCACACATAAATGATAATTTCCATTATAAAAAATATTACTACCTCAATTTGAAGGTGTACATGTAAGGTGCAATGTTGTCAATCCGTAAAGGAGAAGGCAAGGAATCCATTAGTATTCAGATTTTGATAATGACCATAAAGTATATCGATTATTGACTAACAAGGTTTATCTACCTTACAATACTAGTGTATATAGTCATGCTCATGCAAGTCAGAAGTAGCAATTAGTAACCATGGAATAATGAACCTGTGCTGAACCATTCTCACATCAATTTCATTTCTAAAGTATCTATCGTGATTTCAGAATCAGATTATCTTATTGAATTTATCAACCCATAACCATAATGATTCATTTGAAATCCTGGATTAAGTGGCCGTACTTCGACCTTTTGCTAATTCAAGAGACAGAAATTTATCTGAAAGAAAATAATGATGTCTTTAGTTCTCCTTCAGTCTTCACAAACAAGATATCAACATCGGAAGGGAAACCTTCCCTTATCTAAAGGTGCACTCAGAATCCAGTATCTATTCATCAATAGTTATCCGTACACACAGTAATACCAAAATTATTTAATTAATTCACTCAAGGGAAATATAACTCTATACATGCGAAGACAATTTTCTCTGCCATCTCAGATGCACTTGTTATTCCTCAACAGCGATATGTAACTATTAAAACCAAGTAGTCTGTAACAACTTTCATAGGAAGATTTAGGAGATGAATTTCTGCTCAATGGTGCTTGTTGAGGCCTGCATCATTCGAGTAACACCAGTGTAAACCAATGCGCAAATTAGAAAACTCTTGTATAAACATTTTTCACATTCAACAATGCTATTTAATTTTTGTGAAGTTGACTCAGAAAATCAACCAATCATATTAAGTCGTGCAACTTCTACCATATGCTTTTCATGCAAAACAGCATTATACTTTTCACATTATTATAGAAATTCACCCTCATTTTATTCCTTCTGTTTAGTAAATGACTAGAAAAAATATCGTATTTGCTACTGATTTAAAGTTATTTTCTCTATCCCTATTCTTACAAAACGGAAAGAGGGAAAGGGATGTGCTCTTCACAAATAAACATTTGTATGATCCTTCACTTTCAAGTTGTAACTCGTGACAATTAACAGAAATGTAAATAGTAAGAAAACAAGAGATTGTACTGACCCCAATTGATGTTACAAAACTGCAAACCGCACATTTCACGGACCTAGCTCCATATTGGTACCTGAGTAGCATCCTACAATTCCCACAGTTGACATGTGCCACCTGATTTGCTGTTACAATGTACATATATTTGATGCTTACCCACAAAGTAGTGACTCAGATCATAACGATTTAGCTCACTCAAGAATCATTTCTATCCATATATATATATATATATACACACACACACACACACACACACACACACACACACACAACATACGCATACAACCTTTAAATCATACTTGGCCATTAATATCCCAATACCTTCCAAAGCTAGATTGACTGTGTGACAACAAGAGCAGTGCACACTTGTGGCTCCACGGATGTACATGAGGAAAGTGTGACAGCCTCCACAAACTAACTGGGCCATTTCTGTGCCTGTGCACATAAATGCTGGTGATTTTTCTGCCTCATATTGGGTTGATTGAAAAGAATGGAATAGGTAGCAAGTTGAACTTAATAAGTAACCTACATATAAGAAATTAGAGAAAGAAACTGTACCATACCAGGAGGTGGCACTGCTGTGACTGCATTGCAAACAGCACAGCACACAGAGGTGGCTCCAATTGGATAGAGCAGAAGGTTTCTACACCCAGAACAGACAAGTTGACTCTGTGCCCCTGGTTACCAAAGAAGTTTTTGACATAAGTTATTTGAAAGTGTCAAATAAATGACCTCTCATGATCTTTTTATTTGTTTATTTTTTCTCTTTTTTCCCTTTGATATAGCAAGTAATAAAGGTTCTAGTATTCTTGCTGTCTTTAATACAGGTCCAATTTGCAAATGGCAAGCCCGACCAGTTGAGAAATTGGACTAGAATGGAGAACTACACTTGAAAAAGGCATCTCACCAGCTAGCTATTCCCAATCCTTACATTCCACACAAATCAAGAGTCTCAGAGGAATTTCACTGAACACATACTCATATTCAATTTACCAGTCTTCCCTTCAGCAAATGGGAAGTGAAATTTTTCTCTTCTCCCTACTTGGTAAATTGGGTATTTCTATTATATATCAGTCAGTCTATCTAATGAACTTGTCTTCAACACAATAACTTGTTCCCTCCACTAACTACCAACAGCAAAATTGGACATTGGATTTTTCAAACGTTTGAAAAGAAATAAGAATTCATCAGTCCAATCATTCCATCACTATACAGTATTGAGATAACCAACATCAATGAGCAAAGAAAGAACAGAGTAAGCAAGATACCATTTGCTGGAGGTGTATATGGAGCTGGTGGTGTCGGGTAGGGGGCAAGTGGAACTGGCATTATACAAGTCTCAAAATAGTATCTTTCTCTTCCAAACTCTACACACAGAACAAAACTCTCTCCCCCATTTTAAGAACTCCTGGAAAAAAAAGTGGAAAGATTGAAAATATTCAATAGGGGGAAAGTAAGTGATGCACCCGAATCATGATGGTGGAATAAAAAGGCATGAAAAATGAACTATAATTTAACTTTAATACCAGTTAACACCCAGAAATGAAAGAGATTGGAGTGAAGCAGAGGGTGCCAACAAATTAATTTGTAAATCAGATAACATGACAGTCAAATGACAAGCTTTCTTCCCTTTAGGAAGCCATGCATGAAGCTAGATGGAAGGAGCCAAGAAGAAGAGAAGCGTTAAGGCCCTCTCACCAGAAATGGAATTTCATTTACTTGAATAATGTGGAAGTGGGTCAAAGCGAACACATGCCCCTGACAACTTGTTACAGATGAATTAAAAGAGAGAGAGAGAGAGAAAAAAAGAAATAGAGCAAAAGCATCTGGGGTGTTTGGTAACAAGAATGTTTTTAGATTCCCCAACAAGTAGTGTATTATCCATGTGATGTGATGCACGGAGAAAAAAGATCAAATTTTTTATTATTTGGTTGGTTAATCGTTTTGTAAATCTTATACTTATAAAAAAAATTGTGTTACTATTTTGTTCTATATTTCAGGAGGGAAAAACTACGGCATTGACACAGAACTTTGTAAATATCAACAACAAACAAAAATTTGCTATTGGGAGGGATCAATTATTTCTGCATACTAAGACATCATAATACACCATAATACGTTATACTGCACAATGTTAACATGAGGAAGGGATATGAAAATAAAAATGCATATCACTCATAGTATAATAACACCAAGCAAATATAGAATTAAAAATCAACACTTACCAAATATGTCATTTGCTAACAAGAATGTTTTTAGATTCCCCAACAATGTTATTTATTTATGTTTTGATATAAGGTTTCTAAAAATTTTATTGGAAATCTAATTTTTTTGAGATTTTATTTAATGTACAATTTTTTTTTTAAATGCTATCCAAGAAGATCACCAAAAGATGATATTTTTGGAATATCAGGTGTTGAAAAAAAATTTACACTTTTTTTTGGGATAAAATTTATGTAATATTTTGACCTATCAAACAATTTTTTAATAACTTTTTCAGAAAAGTGATTTTCTCACCATATTTTCAAAAATCATAATTTTTGGGCAAAAATTTTTTTATCCTTCACCAAACATAAAAAAACTTTAGAAGAAAAATAGATGAAGAAAAAATGTTGTGGTAAGTAAAAAAAAAAAAAAAAAAACACAATTCTTTTCAAGGATCGGTCGGATGTCGTGTTAAGTAACAACATCTTTTTTTCGTATAATTCATTTTTAACTATGGTTCCCAACTCCGATGTTGAATATACAGAAAATGTGATCCCATAAAAAAAAATTTGTGGGATATATATCTATAATGTCACAGAAATTTTTTAGTTTTTCCTGCAGACACTAAGTTAATTAGTTGGGGTCCATTGGTTTTTAGTTCTCTCTCTTGCTTTCACTTTCTCTCTCTTTTAAATTTGTGTCTACAGTAAAAATTAAAAAAATTATGTTACATAATACATATATATCCCATTTTAAAAAGTCAGGATTCACATGTTGCTGCAAAAAATTTCTTTTCAGTGACAACAGAAGTATAAAACTCATTTCTTCTCGATGACAAAAGAAGTATAAAACTCTTTAACAACATACTCTAGAGAATACATAATTATAAGAGGAGGGTTATTCTTACAACTTAAAAATTTTACAACCTATTTTTTCATCATTAATTTCTATCAATCCAACAGTTATGATTTATTGAATCATATTTATTAATTGATTATAATTTTTAAATTATAACCGTTGAATTGACTGAAATCAACTGTAAAAAAATAAGTTGTAAGAGATTATAAAACTTTTAAATTGTAAGAATAAAGCTCCTCTAATTGTAATATTAAAGTTATTTTTCATCTTTGAGAAAGATTTAAAGTCTTAATCTCTGAAACCGTCCCAAATCGAATTAGTTGTTAAATGATAAATCAATTGGAATATCTTAAAAAAAAAAAATTACTTTTTTTTTCTCATTTCTACATAAGCAAAAAATAATAATTTTAATATTATATTTATATACTCTCCAAAATATATAATTAAAAACAAATAGAGGATAAAAATCTCATTACTACATCATGATACTACATACTTATATTTCCCTTCTTTTAACCTTCATTTGCGTAAGTTATCATTTTCAAGTGTAAAAGAAACTTCCATGGTTTCAACGTCTACTTTCCCTCTATAATATGTGCGCGATTCAGATTCTGTGGGCGGCATGTCACCTGAAAATATCCATTCATTGCTTCTCTCTTTCAAGCTTCACCATTGGTGGAAAATTCAAAACACAGTGCAAGCACGTGAGGGATGCAAAGTATCCACACTCCTTTTTTTTTTTTTTTCCTTTGTTAGAGTTTCTAAATTGATGGTACCCGATGAGCCACGTCACCAGAACACATCAATCAGAGAAATCCCCCATTGCAGTTTTGTGCTGAGAAATTAGGGACTAGAGAGTGCGGGTGGACCTATTATTTATTAAGATTGTGGTCCTTCAAGTTTTTTTTGCTTTAAGGCGAGATATGAAGAGGAACGTTTCTTTTACGATCCAGTTATATCCGAACTAATTAATTAATGGGTAAATAATTATCACTCATCTGATAAATAAATTTGATAAATTCTCTTGTATTAGATTTTTACTATTACGGTTCAATGAAGCTCAACGGATCCAAAGCAATGTTGTTGGAGACAGTGTGATCTTATTTTTCAAAAAAGATCGGCGTGTTAAGTGGGCAGAGAGCCAGAGACAGTGATTAAAGTATGTGGTTTGATTTTCTCGTGTTAAATGAGAATTCAATTATCATGTTGTAGAGATAAAAAATATGTGAGACCCATGTGTTAGAAAAAATTATATGTAAGATCCATGTCAGCACGAAAATCGAAGAGTGTGTAGAAAAATTTGAATTTTCATGTTAAATGAAAATTATAAAACATATAATCTTCGAAGATACTATTATACTAATATCAGATAAAAGTCAATTGAAAGGAAAGAAAAAGAAATTTATGAGGCTCAGAATATCAAAGAATAAAATGAAGTCATATAAACCAGAAAAAAAAAGTATACTAGTGCATTGAATTGACAAAGAAAGTGCGAGAATGAATTCTAGAATTGCTGCTTGGAATCATGCCAGTCTATCTCTAGCAGGTCGTGTTACATTATCTAAAGCAGTGTTATTAGCAATCCCATCATATCCAATGCAGGTGTGTTCATTACCGCAAGTCACCTGTGAAGAGATTGATAGGAAGATTCGAAATTTTGTTTGGAGTTCATCTCCACACTCTAGACGTTCTCATCTTGTGGCCTGGAAGCAGATTTGCATGGATAAAAAAAATGGAGGCCTTGGACTGCGGAGTATGAGGGAAATGAACTCAGCATTTATCATGAAGGTTGGGTTCAACCTCGTAGCTCATCCAGATGCCTTGTGGTCAAAGTTCTTACGTGCTAAGTATAATGTGGAGGCAGGCATGACACCAATTATTCATGCTCCAAACAGCAGCTCCCAGCTTTGGAAGGGAATTACGCGTCATTGGAATATTATAATGGATCATAGTCGGGTGCAGTTAGGCAATGGTCAGTCCACTATGTTCTGGCTTGATAGCTGGCTGCCCGATTGTGGTCCTTTGATCTCATATGCAGGTTCTCAGTTTTCTATTAGTGATACTCTTCAGAAGGTGGTGGACTACGTGGATGAATTGGGGCAATGGAAATGGAATTCTCTTCGACAATTGCTTCCAGATTCTGTGCTGCATCGATTTATGAATTTTCTTCCTCCTTCTAGTCAAGATGGCCAGGATCATTTAATTTGGAATGGAACGACAGATGACAAGTTTACTGTTAAGTCAGCATATGCAATATTAGCCATCAAAGATACTACAATCCAACAGTTTCCTTGGGAAAGTGTTTGGAGATGGCAGGGGCCAGAAAGAATTCGCTTTTTTCTTTGGTTAATGGCAGGGGAGAAGCTGATGACTAATGTTTGTAGACTCCGCCGTCATATGGCTCTTTCAGATCTGTGTCCTAGATGTAATCAGTCTAGTGAAACTATCCTTCATACTATTCGCGACTGTCCACAATCAAAGGAAGTATGGTGCATGATAATGCCTCATATAAATCAGCGTGATTTTTTCAACCTCAACCTGCACAATTGGATCATTTCTAATTTAGACAGCTCAAAGGATTGGGGGATGGGGTCGGACTGGCCTCTTTTATTTGGAATCTTAGCCTGGAAAATTTGGAAATGTAGGAATTCTTGGGTTTTTGAAGGTGATCGCCAGAATGCTTATTCACTTATCCGTTCAGCAATTGGTTTCAGAGATAGTGTCGCTCTTGCAGCTAACCCTGTTTTTGGAGCGGGCAATCAACCAAGGAATCGAATAGAGAGATTGGTTGCTTGGTGTTGTCCTCCTGTGGATTGGGTTAAGCTTAATGTTGATGGTGCATGTGATGCTAATGGTATTAGGACTGGGTGTGGAGGAGTTTTTCGCGATGCCTCAGGAACTTGGATCGTCGGATTCTGTAAAAATTTAGGCTCAGGTACAGTTTTGCATGCTGAGTTATGGGCTTGCTTGGTTGGTTTGGAGCTAGCTTGGGATAGAGGTTTTAGGCAAGTTTGGCTCGAAGGAGATTCTCTTTCAGCTCAACAGCTCATTACAAATGGGTGCCACCATGATTACCCTGCGGCTAATTTGGTGAATCGTATTCGAAATTTGATGCAGCGAGATTGGCAGATTTATATGTCTCACATTCACCGTGAAGGAAATAGAGTAGCGGACTTTCTAGCCTCTTACTCTTATGGTTTCTCTTGGGTAATTCAGGAATTTGATTGTCCACCGTCAGGTTGTATTGATAGTCTGTATGGTGACACTATAGGTGTTCACTGGTCTTGGCTTTGTGCCTAGTTTCTTTTTGTTGTGTTTTTGTTTTAATTTCCTTTTTTTCCAAAAAAAAAAAAAGAAAGTGCGAGAATGACATGCTCAGAACCACCGACAAGGGGAAAAAATCCAACATGCTCCGTTAGTACTTACATTTGGTCAATAAAAATATAATATATGTGTTGACATATTTTTTTGAAAAATGAAAAAAAATTAATATTATATTTATATATTTTTA